GTGTTTTAATTATTTTAAAGAATCTGGCAGTATTTTGTACATGGTTTTAGAGAACAAACATTTTGTTTCGTCTCAATCCCTTTCTTTAACATTTTAAAATCCTTTTAATTGGATAGAGAAGCCACAGTCCATATGACCCCATAGTGCTTTGAATGCCAGTAGCACCAGCAACCTGTGGCATACCAGCTACCTCCAGGACAGATGTTTGACCCCTCAGGTGACTCAGGAGAGAGCCAGTTTTATTTTCCTGAAAGCAAGTTGCCCTAGAAACCCTGGTGTGTTTAACAGACCATCCTTGGCTTGAGAGTCTCCCTGAAAGTGTCCGTTCTGCTGCCTTGTGGCTAACATTAGCATCCCACGAGTCCCTAAACCCAGAAATTAAGTTGAATTTATGCAAATGAAAGTGCCACAGCCTGATTTTTGTATGTCCAGGTGGTGTTGTGAGTTAACACCTCTCATCTTCTTCACGTCTGTGCCAGGAGTGGAGAGGGAGTAAGCAATTGGACCCCTCCAGTTGGAAAAAGGTACCTGTGTGCTGGGCATGGCTGTCCTCAGCTGACTCTTTCCTTCACACTTTCTCATCCTACAAGGGTTTTTGTTGCTGTAACACGTGGCAAGTGAGTACACATATTCCATTACCATAAGTACTGAACTGTGTGACACTTCAGTTTGTTTGGCCTGTTGTTACCTCACTCGGAGTCCTTGTAAATATGGTGATCCCTGGCCTTACGTGTTCTATAATGTGTATTGCAATAAACACCCTAAAGAAGGGAAGAGAGGAGTTTGTGTGACCAGTTCTTGTAGACTGGTTGTCATATGCAATGAGCTGAAGTACCTTGACATACCCAGGTACCCACTGACTGGTGACTCAAGACACTTAGCTTCTGATTCCCTGGTCCCAGCTGCCAGACAGTATCCTGTCTTTGAGACAGGAGTTTCTTAATGCGAAGCCCACAGTGTTTATGACTGGGAATTAACAATGGGGCAGTAACGGTAGTGCTCCACAATGTACAGCTATGGAATTTGGCTCCAGGCTTTCATTCTTTAGCTAAGGGAAAGCTAGGGAGATAGAGGTGTTGTCCTTGTATCCATTAACTAGCAAAAACCAGATTATGGAGCATTTATTCTCTGTTTACAGTGTTACGGTTGTTATCATAGAGAAGCAGAACTGGAAGAAACATCCATAGGTTGTCTTGTCCAACCCCCAAACAAGCAAAAAGTGGGCTTTCCCCCTCAGCTTAGCTGGCAAGGGCAGCAAGCAGCCTTAAACTCATGCCCTCTGGGCTCCTGGCCTGATTCGTCCTTTTAAATACCATCAAAAACCTTGTCTCCATCAAAATAAGATACATACCTACCCAGCACCCATGGAAGGTACAATGTCCTATCCAGACCTCTAGGGTGCCTGTCATCACGGGATCTAAGCAGCCTTTAAGACTCACCATTTCTCATCATGGGAGCCAAGTCTGTGCTCATAGGTTTGTTGGATATTTGCGAAGTGTTGGATTTCCTTGTTCCATCCATGTTGGTTGATATTTGGTTGGATTTCTTTCTAACGTCCCATTAAATTTGCTGAGTAATAATTATGGGCATTCATCTAGTGCTTTCCAGAGCTTAAGGAATAAAAGAGAGAGACTCCCATTGATTTCATAGATTGTAAGGCCGGAAGATCTTCGGATCCAGCCCCCTGCAGGAAGCAGGAAGGACATCTGGGGTCAGGTGACCCCAGCGAGGTGACCAACCAGTCTCCTCTTGAAGATTTCCAGGGTAGGTGATTGCACCATCTCTGGAGGAAGCTTATTCCACAGTCTGGACATCCTGACTGTGAAGAAGTTTTTCCTCATGTTGAGCCTGAATCAATCTTCCAGGAGTTTGTGGCTATTACTCCTAGTTTTCCCCTTGAGTGCCCTGGTGAACTGTTGCTCACCAAGCCCTTGATGTACTCCCCTAGCGTAGCAGTAAGCTGCTGCCAGGTTCCCTCTCAGCCTTCTTTTCTTCAGGCTGAAGAGTCCCAGATCCCTCAGCCTTTCCTCACATGGCTTGCCTTTTAATGCTCTGATCATACGGGTGGCTCTTCTTTGGACTCTCTCAAGCTTGTCCACGTCCTTGTTAAAGTGCGGTGCCCAGAACTGGACACAGTACTCCAGCTGTGATCTCACCAGTGCTGAGCAGAGGGGAAGAATCGCCTCCTTGGCTTTGCTGGAGATGCATCGATTGATGCATGCCAGAGTATTATTTGCCCTACTGGCTACAGCATCACACTTCCGACTCATATTCAAACTGTGGTCTGTTATTACCCCCAGGTCCCTTTCATTTGTGGTACTAGTCAGTTTGGTGCCACGAAGCCTGTAGGTGTGTTGCGGGTTGTTCATCCCGAGGTGGAGCACTTTACATTTCTCGATGTTGAACTTCATCACATTCTGATCTGCCCAACTTGCCAGCCTGTCTAGATCCACCTGTATCTGTAGCCTATCTTCAAGCATGACCATGCTCCCCCGTAACTTGGTGTCATCCACAAACTTGGCCAGTTTCAGTGGCCTTTGAGCCTCAAATACCGTGCCCCAAGGAAGATAGGAAAAACAATAATTGAGTACTCCCTTTTTTTCTCCCTTGCTGCTGGTCAGCTCTTCTGCTGTGTTAACTTTGGCAGGACAGATCTGTTGGCTTATCAGTTAAATCACTGGGCTAAACTGCACTGGAATTCAATTCTGAATGTGAAAATATGCTCTATAATGGGGCCGTTATTCAGATTTGGAGAGCAAGCTCAGAGATCAGCTGGGAATGGAATTCCTGGCGAGGAAGTGTTTCCTCGACCGCAGGAATAAATTTTCCAGACAGTGTGCCAAGTTTGCATATCAAAATGGGTGGGAGGACACAAGCCCTTTATTGGAATAACCTTGTTTTTAATAGACCCGTTAAGCATTTTTCCCCTTCTGGACTTCAAAATTCATCTCACCTTTTGGGAGTGTTAATTTAGAAAGAACTACTAACTTGTGTTGCTGAAAGGAATCTTCCTACCTTGCCCTTTGCAAATGCTTTGGGGTAATAAAACCTGCATTTTTTACTTTTCTACAGTAATCAGTTCAGTCTCATTAACCGTTAAATAAAGGCAGGTTAATGAAAATTTAATACTCTTTTGAAACATGGAGTTAAAAGGCCTTCACTTCCCCCCTTGTTTTTAATTTAAGATTATAAGAAATTGTGGCATTAATAGGTTGGCTTTTTAATTGAAGTGGCAACCTGGCATTATAAACACTGAGGCAGTTAGTGCAGTGTGTGTCTCACTGCCGGCTTCTAGCCAAATGAACAGTACCTCATTTCTGGTGCTTGGCTCATGCTCTTGCTTTGAGTCATTCAATGGCATGTCTGACAAGAACCTCTCTCAACTTATTACAGGCTGGTAAGCACACAAATGCTCCTTACCGAGCTCTACGTGGAATCAATGTTTTTATTCTCAAGGGCATGCTAGCTTCCTGCCTTTCTATACGAAGATGCATCCAGTAGAAGAATGCACTGGAAATTCTTGTGTGCTTTCAATACGACTGGATTTGCTTATTTCTAGCTGCACTTATTTTTAAATATTTGCAAAGGTTCATATGCCAGTAGGATATAATATATTCAGGTTAGGAGTCCCATGTTGGATTAAGTTTGAATGCAGAAGCCCCAGCCAGCCTATTTTGTTGCTCAGATGATAGTCCTTCCCAAGAAAGGTGCTTGCAGGACTGTGGCTGGGAAGCAACACAGGTTACAATTTGGGTCACTGACTTTGTTTCTCAGCTGCTGACCCACACTTACATAATGTTTTTTCTAGTCTGACCTGCAAAGGGGTATATGGGGTAAGCCTAGTGGGGGAAGGGAATTGGGACAACCTGGAGGGGCCTGTGGCCAGGACAAAGGTAATTTAAGATATGGGGGCTGCTCTGGGCAGGGGACCAAGCATCATCACACAGAAGAAAGGTAAGCACAAAAGAGAAAATGGGAGAGACCGGCCAGTCTGAAATGCTGACATCTTGGAATTGATAGAGGAGGAGCTGAGACTGGGGAGGATGCTCTTGAGGAATTTGGCTGTTTCAAACCCCAGACAAATGTAGACCATATCCATACTTAAGACTGCTTTACCATCCCACAACTATGTACCAGTGTGGTTATTATGCATGAGGTCTTGTTTCTCCCATAACTACTATATTGTGTATATTTTTCCAATGTTAACCTTTCCTTAGTAAAGCTTCTGCATCTATTCTTGAGTGCTTTAGGAACAGAGTCCCTGGGGTTAAGCAATTTCTTGATCATGTCTGTTCCTTGTATTCCTGCCCTGTTCTTCCTGAGGTGGTTAAGAGAAGTGCTGAGAGCCCCAGTGGGATGGAGCTCCAGTGGAGCACATCTAAGTGTCTGGGGGCCTTGGGGAGTCTTAGGCACCGATTTGGGTGTTTTGTGTAAAGCTCTGCTCTGAGGCCTGAGTCTAAAGGTCCCAGAGACAATGTTAAGAGTCTGAGTCCTGGCTGAGTAGTAAGTGGGACCTACTAACTGGTTCTTTTTGCAGCAGGTCGGAGACCACGGCAGTATTAGCTATGGGTTAGAGCAGGGGACAGTGACTCAACAGGTCTGGGGGCTGATCAAGACTTCAGATGACTCAAATGTGTGCTTTTGTATGCTGTTCTGTGTCAACTTTGTCATGTACCTGTAACAGTACCTTCCGTTTCCATCATGCCTCCCAACTAAGCTGTTCAAGAATCATCCCCTTTCCATAGTAAGGTCCTGACCCCTGCTATTCCTGTTTCAGACTTGCTTGAGGTCGTAAAGAATCTGTGCTAGACCCACAAGTCCAAGGGGAGTGGATGACAAAGTTCTCCTGAGCTGGGCAAAGCTGCAGACCTCACTTTAAACAGACCTTCTTGGAACACAGTTGCTTCCCCCACCAGTTCTTTTGTACATTGAAGGTGTTTCAGAAAGACTCAGAAGGGCAGACTGCAGGTCTGTGATGACAAAACATTAGAGAGGAACAAGGCAACGGCAGAGGCATTTAAGGCCTGTTGGTCTCTCTGATCATCTAATCTGCTCTCCTATACATGGGTGCAGCAGTTCCAACCAGTTCCCCCTGGAGCTGTATTCACGGACTGAGGAACTGCGCCTTACAGTGCTTCTTAGCACTTAAAACAAGAATTATGTAGCATTTTATTGATGAGCCTTGCAGGAGGCCTGCTTGACTTCATGACAAACAACCCTTCAGGACTGGGTGTGCACACACCAATCTGTCTCGTTCTGGCAGAAATCAAATGCACCGTATCAGCACAGGAAACCAAGCACTGAAAGGCTTAGATCTGTCATCTTTTTTATTATTATTATGGTTATTGAGTAACATCTGATCTAAAATGAACTGCTGGTCTCAGTCCAGTTCCCAGGGGAAGAATCCTTATGAAATCGGGAGAATAGGCCTCTCGTCTCCATTTGAATGATCTGTTTGTTATGAGTAAGCCCAGCAGGACATACTTCCCTCGTATGAGCAGATGGTGGAAGACAGGCTTGTACTTACTTGCCTTCTGGAGAGGGATGATCTCTGTTAACCCCTTTTCCTGCTACTAGGTGCATGGGGAAAAGCCACTAACTTGCTCTTCTCAGGAGCCTTCCAGCAGGGATCCCATGGCTGTTCTACTGTTGGTTAATGGGGCAAATACTGAGGTTCCCTCCTGGTGTCTGTACTTAATTCTGCAACTGAGAAGTGGATCCCACTCACCTTGGGAAAACAATTTTATATAACTTCTTCCCTTCGTTTTGTGGCAAGAAGGCTAACTCATGGTTTTCCTTCCCTTGCTCCTATCACACTAGTTGATTTGAAGGGGAGCCTCATGAGAGACTTATTCCATCCAAAAAAACCCCACAAAACAGCAGCAGACTCTCCCTGTGCCTGAAGAAGGGTGTTTGTGCCCAAAAGCTTACAAAGAACAATTTTCCCAACTATTTAGTCTGTCTCATAAAAGAGATCACATCTACCCTTGTCTGCCAGGAGTGAGGCATCACTCGGATTCCCTAGGCATACCTGCCACAGGCTCCGGTTAATTCAGAGAACAATGCTGATAAGCACACTGGGATCCTGGCTTTCAGTGCTCAGGTGGTAAACATTTATTAATGGCTGGAATAAGAACAATGTGGAGAGAGAAACATTGTGTAAATGTTCCAATCATCCCTAATCCTACATTTAAATTAACAAAATCCCCCTAGGCCTTTATATCTTTTACATCACAAGCTGCTTACATGTTTTTAAGGGACTGGTTAAAGATGATGAGAAGTTCTGTCCATTTTGGACAAGGCAAGTAAGGAGGAGTCCCACAGAGAGATTGCAAAAGCTATATAACCATTTAATAAAAAATACAGAACGTTGATACAGCACCATTTTTTTTACTTAAGGTAAAACATTACAGAGACTGGGATTTCAGCAAACATGGATTTTTCTTGCTGATCCCTCCAAATATAGTGATTTAAAAAAACAAAAAGAAACCCCTTTTACCTGGTTTACATAGAACAGAGACCAAGCAACCTAAACTACCCTGATTCAGACAAGTCTCAAGGACTTCATTTTGTCTGCCTTGTTTCCCTTTCATATGCTAAGTCCAGCTTTTGTCATACATACAAGCACCTCAAAATATAAAGCAAAGCAGCACCCTATGAGAAGCTCTACCTGGTAAAATGGAGCCAATGCAAATAAAGGGGCTTAATGGAATAGATTCCACAGGGGGATCCGTAACGTGATCAAGATTTTGGAAATGTTGCCTCTCAGGTATCCTGTAAATGGCTTGATCAGCAAATGTTTAACTCTTTTCAAGTTCCCTCTTTATCACAGATTTAGATGTGATGGCGGTTATATAGGTAAGATGGGTAGAGACCGTCATAGTGATATTGGCGCCACTGCTCAATCTGTTCCCGGGTTCTCTCGTTCTGCTCTGTAGATGGGGAGAAAGAAGACAAACTGCAGTTCAACTCTTTTTCTATCAGGCAGCAAATGCAATAGGACAGTGCTGAAGAAAAGATTGTTTTCTCTTAAAGCTCCTACTGCCTGTTCCTAGCTTCTAAGCTGTACATAATGCAGAGAGAGATTTCAGGGTAAGCTAGGCCCAGTGTATAGTCCTTGTTAAAAGGAGACCTTCCCCTAAAATTACGGGTAAAGATCATGGTCACCTGCAAAATTCAGAACTGGCCGATGCAATGGCAAGCCCCCTCTGGTCTGGGAACTTTTCTCTCTCTGATTTGCACTTAAAGACCACATCAATATGCCAATGCAGACTGATCACAAGCACCACTGCACCTTTCCTGAGAAAAAAATCGGGTGATGGGCTACCCAGCTGTCACCATGATGGGTGGTACCAATACAAGAGCTTCAAAACGGAAACTTTGCAGAAGTTCCTTGCAAATGCAGAAATCCACTTTGTATTCAAAGAGGTCTAGCTTTGCTAAAAAGATCTTTTGCTTGTAAACCTCAGCAAACCTTGTTGAAAGGTTTCTGTTGTCTAAACAATGTGAATTTAAAAAGCTCCTAAATGTGTTTTAGTTCGTGCCTCAGCACACCCTGGATCTACACTTACTCCTGCAGGGAGATGCACCTAGGAACTCTGGGTGCCATCGTGCTAGGTTCTTTGGGGGCCAGTTTTAATGTTCACCTTCCAGTTACCTTGAGAAAGCGGTTACAAATTGCTGTGTCTGGCTTGACATACCTTCCAGGTATATTTATTCTGACGCATGTTTCTTTGAGCTGTTAAAGCTAATATATTACTACCCTTCTGCAAGTCTCTTGCTCTGGAGCCAGCTATTTAGATTTCACTGAAATCCGTGGAATGGTCCTCGCTGGGACATTCAAAAGCACAGCAGGAACCCTTTGCCTTGGCTATGCTTAATGACAGTCATAATGAAGTCATTTTGAATTGTGTCATTCAGATTTACCAGCTAGCTTTGAGTCTTCTAAACGTGGTTATCAGTACCTCTGAATGGCATAACTGCAAGAAGATCAGATTAGCCCCTGGAGTGCAAATGAATGTGCTGGGTACTGTCAAGTTGGACTGCAGCTTTTGTGCTACTGAATCCAACAGGTGTCCCGGTTATCCGTTACCCTTGGTAAACTTCAGATTTATACAAGCACGGAGAGCAAAAGCTAGGTACAATTCTTAAAAATCCCAAAATTCACACTTTCTTAGATGCATATTTGGCTGGATGCCAAATGCCAATGCCCTAATGGCTAATTTCCATGATAAACCACAAGGCAGAGCCATGTGGCATGTCTGACCGCAAGGCTAGCAAGTAAAAGGTTAAATATGTTTAGCAGGTATTTAGGCCTTGCCTTCCTGAATGCCTTTCCCAAAGGGGCAAATATGGATATTTGTCAAAGAACCATTTTAAAACCGCCTGCAAATGGCACTTCAAGTAATGTCAGCTTCTCAAGCAACCAGCCACTTCCAGCAAATAGGTCTTCTCAAAATGTAGCCAAAAGGAGGCGATAAAAACAAGGAATGCCTCCAAGTCACTTCTTCCCAGTCTCCTCCTAAGGCAGAACATGCAGCAAAGTCTCCCCAGGCCCCAGCTTGGTTAGCCACGTCCATTTGCGGTTTCACAAATGCCCATCTGGTTCTGTTTAGTAAGCCATCCAAGGAAAACGGTCTGCTCCTGTCATTACCTTTGCCCACTGTCTTAACCACCCTTCCCACAACTGGCTTTTCCTACTTGCTCTCTCATGAGCCAGCTGAAGCATCTATGGGGCCATTTGTTCATTTATATGTAGGAGAATGTGCACAGTGAACGTTTTCTTAATGCAAGCTCCCAACAGCATGGGGAAGTACAGAGGACCGGCTGGAAGGCAGCAGTAGTAATGCTCTCTCCCTCTCCCATCATCAGGAGAGCCCATCGCAGCCCAGCTCTGGGGCTCGCTCTCGGGTAGTTGTGCCGCCAGCATGGTTGCAGGCATCGGGTGGTTATGAGAAGAGTAAGAAAAATGTCCATCAATAGTAGAAAAATAAACATACAAAGAATGCCATTGCTTAGAGAGAAAATTGTTAATCCTCAAGGTAGCTGAGTCTTCCAGGGACTGGTTCTGTACTACCACTCTAATAAGTAAATTAAAGTGATTTTGTCATCTTTGTTCTCCAAGAACTGTTTTCAGATTAGATTTCTTATTTCTGGTGGAGAAATACACAAGGAAACGGTCTTTTTTCCTTCTATCAATATGACAGGAAAGAAATGAAGATGATACACTAGTTTGAGCTTAGAGAAAGGCAAAGGAAGCCTTTCAGGGATGCTGAAGTGTTTTATAAGTGTTAACCTGTCAGATTTCACAATTCCTCTCAGATTTATGCTGTTTTGACAGACAGATAACCCAAGCAAGTCACTCCTCTGCGCCTCAAGGGCGCAGCACGGCAGTTTCTGCTCTGAAGCACGGCCCTGCGTGCCAGGGGGTCTGGCTTTTATTTCCTGCTTTTCCCAGGATCTCCTGTTTGACCCCAAGCACTTTTGTGCTTCTCTTTACCCTGCTGCTAATCTTTTCTTGGTAAGTAAGTGCAGGGAAGTTGCTTGTTGAAGCTGCCACTCCTTTGCTTGTTCTGTGATATGGCAGCCGATATCAAAACCACTTGGTGTGCAACCTCCTGTATGAAAACACTGCTGCTGGCAGAGGGTGCTGTTTGCATGCTCATTCATCAGATGGAAGGGTCATCGCACAGCGTGCAAAGCCCAACTGAAACCTGTGGGTTTAGATATGGGAGACATGGATAGCTGCCAAATGGAGACTCCATGGGCGGGTATGCTGCAGTGCTCAGTGCTGATTTTACTGGCGCCCTTTGCTGGCCCAAACCTATGGAAACAGCTGAGAGAAGCAATCCCAGAGTCCTTCTGCATTCCTAAAATCTCACCCCAATAAAAAGGAGTCTCATTCCAACATCTAAATAGTGAATTCCCACCGGGCCCCAAACCAGGCTTTCACAGAAACAACGTCTTTCAGGTGGGGACTTGAGAGATGCAATAGACTCGCCTCTGGGAAACGCAAACTGGGAACCCCCCACTATGGTTCTACTTAAAACAGACCTCTCCCGTTCTCTGCAGTATGAATTATATACAGCAGTATAAGGACACCTAGGAATGCACAGTATTTGCTGGAGCAGAGTTCAATTGTAAGAGGCCGTCTGTCTCAGGCTGATACAACACCTTGCACGATGGGACTATGCCTCATTCTGGCCTTTAGGCACTGCTATATTAGAACAATTACATAGCACCAAATAATGATCGTGGCAGGACCATCTAAAGTAGTGGTGCTCAACCACCAGCCTGCAGGCCTAATCTGGCTTAGGGGCTCCCCGTGGGTCTGAAAACTTGGTGGTGGAGGAAGCAGTAGCAGCATTAATTAGCACTTCTATGCTGCCAAGATCCAAGCCCATAGGGAGCCCTGCAGGCCACGTAACATGACCCTGTGCACTAGATAGCATAGCTGGGCCGGGCCAGGACAAGGGCTTTGGTTTGCAGGCTGGCTGGACACCACTCTTCAAGCCCACAAGTCAAAAGCTTGGGCACCACTGATCTAAAGTCACATTTTGTTCTTACCGTGACGTTCTTCTTCAACAAAGTTCTCATGCTCATTCCTTTGCTCCTCAAAATACTCCCTCCTCTGCTCGTCGGCAGCCAGCATTTGCCGTGTCTCCGCTGTGTGAAAGAGAACGGGACCAGCAGTGAAGAAATCTTCAGGCAATGGAGCATAGTTTTGACCTCAAAACACAACAGCTCTGACTATGCTGACAGAACATCATCTGTGTACTGGGCTAATTTTCAGCTGTGTTGCCTAAATCCTGGTTTACAGGAGCCCTGCTAAGGACCTGACAAGCTTTCGTCATCTCATTGTGCAACATAAAGAAATAACACCTGCAAAAAATGCTGATAGGAAAATGGCTAGCTGCTGCAGGCAATTCTGTTTAAATGACAGAGATGAAAACACAGATTGTCCAAATGTAGTTTGGTAGATTGTGTTTGGTCTGATATGTGAGCCTCACCAGGACCCAAAGAGCTAGGCCAATGGACACTATATGCATGTAAGAGTCACCCAAGTTAGGTCAAACTGAGACCAGACTAGAACCTGGCCATGAAGTTGAGAGCCTAACTCCATACAACACTTCTGTCATGGAAAGAGAAGACTGTGGTTCCTGTATAGCTGTCTAATGAGTTGGGGGACATGTCCCCAATGTATCCAGGAAAGAGCAGATAGGACACGCTCAAGAGCATCTGCTCTGCCTTGCATGCACCAAACCTGGAAGTCACCCCAGGGGCATCCTCCTGTGACCACCTTTGAAAGCTCCATCCCTCACATGCTTGAGGACGTTCCTGTAGTGGCTTCACCCACGTACGTGGACGTGGTATTTACAGGTTGGTGGGCAAGGGATACTCAGCTGTGTTTCCCTCCAGATGTGCTCAGGTCACAGTGCTGACAAACTCTTTAAACCCCACGATAAACATAGTAGTTAAAGGACATCTACACAAGATGTGCTATGGCACCATGGCATCCATTGGCAAAAACCATGACACTGCTGCTATAGCAACGTGCTCCCTCATTACATAATAGCATGTTGCTACAGCAATGTAGCAGCCAAAACTAACCGAGTGCGGCCGGCACGGCCCAGTACAGACCGTTACTGCACCATCGTTTAGTACTTCCAAAAGGAAGTATAAATAACGGCGCAGGAACAAAGGCGCTGTACAGCCAAGTGCAGACGTGCCCAAAGTTTCCTATGCCCCCTGGGTTACCTGGCTTTGGTTGGGAGTGTCACTCCAGTGTCAAGACCCACACCATGCTACACTGAACGTAAAATGTATTAAAGTTTTGAAGTGGGGAGAAGCCCAGATTAAGCCTCCCATCCAGACAACCTTGAATTTTTGTTTTGGTGCGAGGGAGTATGGGTTGGTTACAACCAAATCCTTGGTTTGAAAATGGCTCACAACTTTGGCTCACGTTCTAGCTCTGGGGTCAGTAACCTATGGCCTGGATCCAACCCCCGAAACCATTTTATCCAGCCCACGGAGCTGAGGGGCTTCCATGGCAATTTGGCAGTATACTTCTGTGACCGGAGATTTGCCCGAGGGGCTGTAGACTGCAGTGGTGGTGTAGGTTGAGTTGGAAGTAGCCAATACAGAACAAAGCTCTATTAAAATAGTCCCTCCTACTCCCAAATGTTGCCAAAACCTGTTCTAATCACAGGTCAGGTCCTTGGCTCCATACTCTGCACTGTTCCTGTGATGTGCTGAGGATGGCAGGCCTGCATACAGGGCTCTAGGGCAGCATAAGGTTGGAACAGCAGGCCCTGCATTGTCCATCCTCTCTGGGTCACGGGTCACCAATCACCAGATTTGGGTCCAGGAAAATGTTTCTCCCTTACTGGAACAAGGATCTTGGAAATTTCTTCTCCCCCCTGCAGGGCAGGGCGTGATCCCCTTCCTAGGAACACATGAGCATAAACTAACCTAACACGTTCCTGAGCAGAGGCAATGTGAATTAGATTAGTAGAAAGAAATGGGTGGGGGGGGGAGAAGGTGGGGAGAGGATTGCAGGGATTTTAATTGAGGAGCAAAGCAATAAATGATGAAAATCTTTCATTAAATGATGATTTCAAAGAAGGATGTAATAAGCAGGTGGCGTTCAAGTGACAGTAGAGCCAAGTCCTGCATCATTCAAGAACTGGGATCAGTGAAAGAAAATGCAATTACTTTTTTTCCTTGAGGTACTGAAAAGCACAGAATGGGTGTTAAGTTGAATTCCTATGTCGGTACGTTATAGTCAGAGCTGAACACCTGAAAGTTAAGCAACCCGCTTCGTAACCCTGGAAAAGAGGAAATGGAAGACAAAAAGCTTTGAGAGAGTGTAAAGCTGCTGGCTTGAAGGAAGGCGGCAAAAGAACGGCTGATTCAAGAACTAGAGGAAGATGACCATGGCTAAGGTAAATGGGTGGCAATATCTTCTGCCGTAAACTATTACAGAGTTTCTCAATGAGGCGTTGCTTCCAAAGGTAGAGCCCTGCGCAGGTAGTTGCATCAGCAAAGCATTACATCAAGGATGCGACCTCATCCGAATCACCCCAGGAACAATGGCCAAAAAGACCAGGGGGCTGCACCATGTGACAGCTGGTGGCTTTGGAAGAATCTTATGCTTCTAACTTAAATAGTATTTTACAGTCTCCTCAGCAGCATCATGTTGAACCTATTCCAATCCCGGGATGCAGATCTTTGCCAGCTGGGAGAGGAGAGGACTGCATGTCATTGCTGACTGTCCATGTTGGTACTCAGACATGGTTCAACATCCATCCATTCAGCATGGATGTTTAGGAAGGAGTTCACAGGTCTGAGCAACTAGAAAGGTCCTTGTTTTAAGACAGTGTTGAGGAAGCACTGGCTACTTAAAATTTGTAAAGTCCGTGTTAACACCCAAACAAAATGGGTCATATTCCTCTTTCACTAAACATGGCATATACCCAGCTAACCTCGCTCAGAGGATAGAGGTTCCCAACCTCACCCAACACTTTGTTTTAAAACCTCAGGCTATGGAAGAGGGGGGCCTTCCCCACTGCTTCCATTCTGCTTTCCCACTCGCACGGCCAGCCAGGTCTAGGCTTGGGCCTTTCTAGTGCGCAGCTTCCTGTTCAAGCTGAATATTGCCTGGGAATTAGGACAAACCCATCACACTCCTCTTGATCCATCACTTAAATATCCACTAAGCTATCTTGTGTGAGAGGATGCTGGTCTGATTCCTGTCAGCTGAAGCCTGGCAACATCTCCAGCTACTAATTTATTCCTCTTCCATGGTGGTATATTGAGGTGAACCCATCTTCCAAAACCTCTCTCCAGGGATATTGCTCCATGACTTGATAGTATGGGAAGTGCTCAGCAGTTAGCCCTTTGCATTATGGCTCAATAATATAAATAACGTCATGATATATAAGGACCTATTGCCAAATCACATACGTACTGTAAAAAAGGGAGATGTGGAATACATCATACAATCTGAAGCTGGGTGGAGGTGTCCCACTTATACCTCCCTGATATGCTGAAGGATGGATGGAAATGGTGGCATTAGTGTTAATGGTTAAATGGACCAGACAGGAAGGCTTAGAGATGTCAGCTTTGGGTCAGCAGTGTGAGAAAGGGAGTTTTCTAGATCAGACCTTACCACTGGGAAGCTCTGGATCTCAGTCTGATCACAAACTGATAGAGGACAATTCTACTATTCAATTTAGTGGGATATCGAGCAAAAGATATGACCACATGATCTATGTCTGTGCTGTTGGGCCAACTTGCACTCTCAGGCACAGCAGTGTAAAATTATTGATTTCAATAGTTTAGTACTAAAATAATGAATTCAGCAGGCTTGTGTCTCGTCAGTGAGAGTGTGATTTGACCCTTCTGGCTTTACTACGTGTCTGGCATTATATGATTATTTACTACTCATTTAACAATAAACACTGCTGCAGACGTATTTGCCACTGCATATGCTGGACTAACTTACGCTGCTAGAAGGCAAATGCTATCACACATGCATGATAGCTACATAATTACCTGATATTGTTCAAGTGATCGCAACCTAATTAAATAGATCACTGGTTTACATATATTTGGACCCTGTATTTTGAAATGTAACCACTCAAATCAGCCTTAATTGAGGTAATTTTCAAATTATTACTGAAAGGTTATCTTGTCTCCCAGTAACCTACCAGTAGCTTCGTTGATCAAAAGGACAGGTAGCACCAAATCAGTTCATTTGATACCAACCCCAGTGCCTCACCAAATGAGCCATTTGACTTTTGTTAAATTTATTCCTCCCAAATGGAAATTAAGGTTCTTGCGGAAGCCAGGTGCATATTTTCTAATGCAATTTTTTTTAAGGACGGATGAAAACACTCATTCAGTGCTGGACCTGAGATCTGCTTGTTGTTTAGCTCCTTTCGTAAGATGACTGCGTGAAAGGGGTGAGGGGAGGGATTATATAAGCGCACACGTCCACTTCACCATGTTGTCCTGTGCCTCCTACGACAGCCTGCTGAGCTCAGCCTCTCCTGAGGTGTCTGATGTCTGAGCCCTTTGGAAAACGCTAAGGATACAATATTCATCTCAGTCCTGTTAGCCAAGTCTAAGAGATTTTTACATGAAAAAAAAAATTCATTCCAAGGTTCCTTCTCACCTCATTTCAAGGAAGTATCAACACACACACACACACACACACACACACACACACTCTCATTTTGGAGATTACGCTAATGACTAATCACTTTAAACCTACTCAAATAGTTCAATTTCCCCTAAATCTTTTAAACTGGATGTCTAACATTCAGGTTTATTTTCCTACCATGTCATTTTTATTCAGTTCCATAAAAATTACACTTCTCCTCCTGCACCATCCATCTCCTCTTGCTTTTCCTCCAAATTGTCATTTGTTGGCACATTCTGCCATTTAAAATTTAGATAATCAACGATGAACGGTTTCTAATCCAAAAGAAACAACCACGACTATCCACCACCTTTGATCATCTAATAAATTCTTTGAGAGGCAGGAGGTCAACTTGGGACTGTCTCAAGGAAAGCGGAAGATGAGAGAAGGGGAAAGAAAATACCACTTTCCGTAAACACTCCCGAACAGCCTCACCATTGAGCTCGTCTATGGAGCTGGTAGATCTCCTGCTGCGCTTTTTGAAGAAGTTAGAGGCATCTGATTCTTGTATGAAAATCTTTTTCAGACCTGGGAATAAAAAGAGAGGAATTGATTGGCCACTGATAGTTAAGAGGGGGCATCAATATAAATGTGAATGCTTTATGCACATTGTTCCCACTCTCTCCCTCCTAAAATTTGCAATTACACTTACTTTCCTTATTTTCTTCCCCATCTGCTTTCCTGGAACCCACAGCAGCGGTGTCGCTCTCCTCAAGTACTGGAGGACAACAGCACAAACAGCATTGAATTCAGCATCCCACAGGACAGACCTCAAGCAGATGCTTAAAGCTACAACCTGCTAAAACCCTAAAAAATCCACTTCTTGTAATCCAATAACAGGCAGTCTCGGAAATCCGTTTTATTCATAGGAAAAGCATCAGTGTGCTCAGCACCTATGCCTGTGCAGACTTAGCTCGTCACTGATTTTTGGATAAAATAAAAACAAGAATTTCGAGATGAACAGGATTTTACAGGAATAGTAGTTTAATCTGTGTACAGTACGCTCAGAAAACGGCCTCTCTTTGAATATCACAATGCTTTAGAGATTTGAATAGAGTAGAATGGATTAGATTAAATTCTTACGTACATACTCTCAAACTCCTTGAAATGGCATGGCTCCTATAACATGCTACCCTCCTACATGAGTTCATGCTTTAGCTCATCCCTTACTGAAATGCCAGTCTCCCTCTAAGCAGTATTATTACTGGATTGTACGTACCAGTCAAGAGCACAAAAGTTGCCACGCAGGAGAGAAAAAGGATTTGTTTCCAGTTCATCTTTGCCCGAGTGCTGGTTGACTCCTCCAAACAATAATCACAGTAAGTTCCTTGAGATCTACTTGCAAATCCCCCCTGTTAGCTGGGAAAGGAAGTGGGAAGCTGGGATGTCACAGAGGGAAAAGGAGGGGCACTGGATGCCAGTTGAGTTGGCTGCTCCTTTCCAGACCAAAGGACACTTCAGCAGACTTGAAAACATCTCAAGAAGAATTTTATACACCTGAATGAAATAATCAGCCCTACAAACTCGAAAGCAGTTGGGATCCTTGCCTAGAAGCTGACTAGTACAAGCAAACAAACAGACCATATTGTGCCAGCTGAAAAGTATGCCTGCATGATAAAGGTGCTTGCTGAAGACTCTATGAATATTAAACCAAGTGTTTTTTCTGTATTTGTTTAGATATTAAGCTGTATGTTGTTGCTAAAAGCCTAATTAAAGTTTAAGATGTAGTGAGGCCTTGTATAAAGTAAAGCCTAGTAAATTTAGCAAAACCTTGAAATAGTAAGGCCCTGTGGTGTAGTTAAAATTACCTTATCAAAGGAATGCAAGGCTTGTACTGCTATTGGTCAGTCTAAGGACAGTTGAAGTAAAAAAAATCCGAGTGGTTGTACGTTATCAGTACAATTCAGAAGCTATAAATTAGCTGGAATATCTGGAAACCATTCAGAAGGAAGATGCAGCTCTGTGAAAAGGATTAGTTAGCTGTTGGCCTGGATCAGTGGACCTGGAGGAGCCCAAGAACTGAATTCCAGGGTCCTTCCTGGTACCCCTTGGACAGCGCTGATCAGGGACGCCTGACTTCGCTGAACTTTGTGGAAAGAGAAACTTGTTGTACAACAGGCATCAGAGGGGACTGCCGATAAGTTGCCGACACGAATTGTTCTTGTCTTTGTTTGCCTTGTTACTACGTGTAGTTGTGTTTTTGTTAAGTCAATAAACCTTTCTTACCTTTCTACCCTCGACCATACTCTCAATCCCAAACCCTCCGCAGGTGGCTGGGCTGGGACAGCATATTTATTTTTTGTTATTGATGATACATAAATTATAGTTAAACCCCACAAAGTGGCACCTGTGTACTCAGCAGAGCAACTGCCTGTTGGTATGGAGTCAGAGCTGGTACCTTTGCCGCCTGTAATAGTTTTCTCCTCCCCCCACCCCCTTCTCCCGTCAGCCTGCAATCAGCAGAGCTATGAAAGCTAAGATGACAGGCTTTCCTCTTTGCTCCGCAACATCACCAGGCTCCTTTGCTAAGGTCCATTTGTTCAGATGTTTGAACACCGGTGAAGGCAATGGAGCTGCACGAGTGCCACTAAGGATATGGATGCAAGGGCCCGAATTCCTAGTTAAATTAAGGCCTTTCACATAACTCTGACTGTGTAACAAAGGCTGAACATTGGTGCAAACACATTCACTTTCTAGTGGCTAGGATAATGCTGAGCTGCCCTCCTGGCTTCTGGGTAGCAGCGGCAGCACCCTGCAACCTTGTTGATCGGTAAAAAACAGGGGCTCTGGGAGCGCTGTCATGTGGGAGGAGTTTGGAAAGGCAGAATTTCTAATGCAAGTGATGTCTGTGGAGGGGCACGGCCTCATTTTAGATAAGGAGTTTTGGACAGAGGTGCATCTGGTAACTAGGGCTAGTGTGTGCTACCCTGACCAATGTTTGGGACTGCTCAACTTCTCCGAGACACACCAAAGGACTCTGAATACTGATTAGGGCTACTTTCAGGATCCTGATACTGTCATGCTACAAGATACTCCACTGTGAAAAGACGACATTTTGGAAATAGGATAAATAGCTATCAGATCCAGAGGGAACTGCTAGAATCATCTGTAACAGGATTTCACCCACTAATTCTAGCATCAAAATTCAACAACTTCTGTCTTTAAAAAAAAAGACGCATTTCAAATGAAGACTCAACCATGTCATTGGGTGGCCTGTTCCAATAGTCACTGTTAAATTAGCTGTGTATTTCCAGTTTGAATTTGCCTAGCTACCACTTCCAGCCTGGATCTTCTTGTTCCTTTATCTGCTCAGTAACAGCCCTACACAGATCTATTTCTGCCATATCACATTGTGTTAGCAGCTGTAAATTCAGGAAGAATGAATTCTAGGAGGCTAGAAGATAAAATTGAAATGGGAAATAAAGCCAAGAAAGGAAGAAATACAGCGTTGCGGTATCTGGTGACACTGGTGGCTATGTCAGAATGGAGACTAAGTCTGACCCGAGTGGAGGGAAATGGGCATTTTCCATAGAAAAGGATAAGCTCCCTCTTTCAGTGCCGAACAGCTGAGATCTAAAGACTGGATACATTCTGGATTGGACAGCCTGAGGTTCAAAAAACTTAGGTTGGCAACAGTCAAGTAACAGAATATACATGAGGGCTTGAAAATAAATAATGTTACCTCTGGGTCTGGGCCCTTGGCATCAGAGCCTGCGAGGTGGGTGAATGTGTGGTTTGTATTTCAAATTCCCTGCAGCCCAATCAGGTTGGCACAAGCTGTGTGTAACACTTCTTATGTGCAGTACGCGAGACAGAGACATTACCAGACGTGTCTGGTCCTGGGCTGCCTTCACGAAGGGCGATTTCCGTACCACCCGCTGAAAAAACATTGACAAATACCAGCTCTGATTAAAATGGTGTGCTTATTAATCATGCAAAGTCGTTATGTAGTGACATGCTGACAGAAACAGCATAGGACAGGATTTGCCCTGCTGAAATCAAACTGTGCCCCAGCATTCAGTAATGCCTCATATCTATGGCAGAGATCACACATGCTCTCTCCTAAGGATCCAAAGCATAAGACTGGATCATGTTTATCACTTAACACATGGACAAATTATACTAATAATGAGGAAGTTAATAAGTTCTTTTCCCCTCTCAGCCTACCTGGGGTTGAGAGGTTCTCAACGTAATCCCATAGTGCTGGTGGAAACGCAGGTGATTTGCTCATGAAGGATGCTTGTGCCCAAAAGCTTGCAATAAAAATAAATTTTTATGCAAAAATCTTGTTGGTCTAACAAAAGCTATCACCTCTATCATGAGCCCAGATTGCCGAATAGCTGGCATGCTACCATTTGAGTGCTGGCCCAATATAGCAGGAGGAGGATCTGTCTTTGCCTTTTAGCTTACTAAGCTACAGCTTCTATCATTTGTGATACTGCAAGATTTTTTCTCCTATGCAAGAATAAGTGAGGTTAAATCTGCCTTGATTTGCTAATCCAGTTTCAGTACAGTAATCAGATAATGCTGTGATAAAGTACCCGTGTCACTTAGATTTTATTCATCACCTTTTTCCTTGTGTAAATTCCTTCTGCAAGCGCAGTAGTCTCCATCATCAGCTCTTAAACAGCTGTTGCATCTCACACAAGAGGCAGCTGCTCTCCAGTGATGAATCCATGGTTCAAGAAGTTGTCACTCTGTGATAACATGTCCTATGCTTCCTCTATTAATAAAGGTGTTTTTTTCTTGGAAACTTGACCTAAATTCTTTAAATTGGCTTTTGAGTTAAGAAAGAAGTTGGGGGGAGAGGAGGGAAAGCTTTCAAAATGTTTACACTTTTACAGAAGAAAGCTGGAACTTGACCAGGGTACAATGCAAATAACAAGACAGATACAAGGAAAATTAGCTTTAATTTAACAACACTATGCAGTGCTGAAAAACAATGAGCCAGACCCATAATGAAAATCACTTAAATCATGGAGATATAGAAAAAAAAATAATCAATGTTGGGTTCTTAGCCTTTAGGGCATGCTCAGATCACTTTTGCAAGCTGCAGACCAGAAGCTAGAAGCAGCCTAGAAGCTTAATGTTTTAATGAAAGCTGAGATTCTCAGGTCATCACAGGACTCCAGAAGCTAAGGCTTTAAAGATAAAAATTTAATGCAACTCACAAGAGCTGGTACTAAAACCTAGGGCGGTGTGAAAACATAATGATAACCCAGCATGATGTGGGAATGTATTCTGTGGGTATATAGGTAAGGACAAATCCCCAGCTCAAGCTGCCCTGGGTGCCGAGTAGGCAGGAAAGTGGAAAGAATCCTGTGCTGTGACACGGCTGAATTAGTGTTGGCTGTCTGAGATATTACCTCCCATCACCCCCCTGTGGGGCCCATGTAGCAGCAGACCCAGGGCCATCACCTGCTGCTGGAGAACCTCTGCGAGGGGGAAGGATGGATTTTAGTACTGAATTTCCTTCTGCATTTTCATGGCAGACCCATGGCAAAGAAGTTCCTCTGCTAGGAAGACCGGGGTCTGATTTGCTTCTGAGACAACGATTCACTGTCAGGGATGAGTTACTAATATTTTAACATGAGCCTCCAGAAAGCCATGTAGCAGGAGAAGCATTTTTTCACAGGAGAAGAAACGTACCCAAGGAGAAGAGGAGACAGAGTGGGAAATGTATTTGTATGCTTTCTTACAAAAACAGAAACCCCTTCCCATAACCACAACCACATCTATGGGAGGAAACGATAAAACCACAGTGCGAGCAGACACTTTCGGACATGCCCACGCTGTCCGACCTACAGGGTAGTTTGAAGGCGCGTGCTAGGAGGAGGCCTTAATGATCTCATCAAGGAAGTATGTTCAAGAAAATACCTGCCATTTGGTCCGATCCGGTCCTTTTTTAATTGTGAAAAATTCAGCCCCTCTGTTAAAATAATAACTTCACCGTACTTGCAACCCAGAGTCAGAGCTAGAGGTGGGTGACATTTTTCAGACTAAGAATTATTTTTCTTTGCCCGAAATCATTTTGGAAAAGATGAAATGTTACATTTAGGTATGACTGTACTTGAAAACAAGGCGTTCCATTTAGTCTAAAAAGAAATAGTTGGGTTTTTATTTTGCTGTGAAAAATTAAAGAAGATTCCATTTTGGGTCACACCTGGAAGAATTTTCCAGTTTTCAAGCTGCGTTTTCTGGTTCACCAAGTGCCCGTATTCTCATGGCACTAGTCAGAACCTGTCCGAACCTGGTGCAAGGGGCATACCCTGCTTCTTAAAACGTGCCTTAGATTTTCTCTCCCCCATATGGGCAGTCATTTTCAGGCTCTTCCTGCGAAAGAACTTGATGGAGGGAAGTTTCCAACTATATTTTAAATTTCTGCCTAACAGCCAGCGCCACACCACGCTAGTGAAGTCCCGGCTGTATCCCAGGGGTTGCACTTGCCTTTTGGAAGACTCTTCCCTCAGTTCCAGCTCCTTGTACGGAGATAGCGGTGGGCCTGGCGGCTCCTTCAACAATGCTGGGACACACACCTCCCGATTCCGGTAAGCAACAGATGTACTGGGAGGAGAATCGCTTTAATTCCAGTTTTAAAATACCAATCAATTAAAACTTGGAAAAGAAGGCCATATACACTCCCGCATCTAATCTCCGACTGGCAATTGAATACACAGATGACTTGTGCAGCTGTGCTCTCAGCATTTATCAAAACCAGGTTCTGGGCATGCTTAGACCAAATTTCTTTAAAGCACCGATATTAATGTGCTAATTAAAAGGGAGATCATTTTTATTCTGTGTATCTGTGTTTTGCATGTCAAATAGCTTGGGAAAGAACATCTTCTGACTGCCTCACTTTAGCAGCAGGTTGCAATGTTTGTGGAACAAACAGAGCAGAGAATATATAAATCCAAGTCATAAACTGTTTGTGAAAACATTTATCAGATTAAGCAAGGATGAATGAAAGGGATACTATTTTGCTAGAAATTCTGAACTGCATTTGCTACAGTTTGTACAGCTTCTGTATGGATTTTTCTGTTCCAATTTTCATGAATGTTTTTGCAAGCAAGTCTCATGCCTATTTGATGAAGATGGGCACTCTTTAGAAATAGCCCGTGTTGCAGTTCAACTGCCAAATGCAGGCTTGATGAATCTTTATGCGGCCAGTTATTTAAGAGGTCAGACTGGATGATCATAAAGAAGTGTATGAATCTTAGAATGCATTAGTCTTGACCATTAAGCCAGGTCAAAATTGAGTTACAAACAGTAAAACTCTCAGAGAGTGTTAATGAGATGAATGATTCCCTGACCAAAACCCAGCTGCTTGTATACCGTGTGTCACCACCCCATGCATCAGGATTTGCACTACTTCCTGCTCCAACCTGAAGTTCACCTGGGGTGCACTTAGACTGCCACAGAGCTGGTAAATCGCAGCAACAACTGCCAGAACGTAATGTTAAGCATACAAAAGCGTTCCCTAAAGCAGGAACGGGCAAAATGCAGCCTGCAGGCCACATGCAGCCCGCCAGGCCATACTATCCAGCCTGCGGGGCCCCTAAAAAATTTAGAAAATTAATATTTATCTGCCCCTGGCTGCCTGTCATGCGGCCCTCGATGGCTTGCCAAAACTCAGTAAGCGGCCCTCCACCCAAAATAATTGCTCGCCCTGCCCTAAAGCCACACACTTATCCAGTGCAGGAGGATTTCCACCTCCTTTAGTGAAGCCTGAGCTGCGAGAAGACTGGAGTCAGTTAGGGGGTAATGTCATGATGTGTCTTCAGTCTCCTTGGCCAAAAACTTCAAGACTAGAATTAAAAATAGGCTTGGGTGCCACGTCAGTACGCATGACAATGACAAACTGGTAGCCAGCCATCTGTTCGCAGGCTGGAGTCCAGAGCCCAGAATTAAGCATCTACCTAGTAGGGTTTTTTTAATAAAATAGATATAGATATATATAAAGAGAGAGTTATATATAGACATCCTCTATCATAAACTTTCCATCGCACATCTTAAACTGCATTAAGAAACCTGCGTTCCCATTACAATAAACGCACCCACTCTCCCGCGCCATCTACCTAGCAGGTTCCTTCTCGTGGAGAGACGTGAGCAGCTCAGAAAGGGTGCCCAGCCAGCCAGAGCGGTATCTGAGAACAGCACAGAGCGCGCACAGCGAGCCAGAGGGGGAAATGCTGAAAACAGAGGTGTCTTGCATCTCATCCCGACTCAGGGCATTCCCCGGGGCTGCAAAGAGCCACATCTCTCCAGCCAGGATTTGCAGCACAGAACCCGTTCCAGAAAGCAGGGACCGATGTCCTTTCTTTTCGAAGCAAAGCAGACCCCTCCCTTTACTTTCCATTTGCTAGACAAAGCATGTTCGCTATACAGAGTCATATAAAAGTTAGCTAATGTCCCCGCACAAAATTTAGCAGCTGCACAAGAGGCTATTCCTCCTGCTGCAGACACAGGAAGCTCCCCGCAGAGTAGAGCTGTTACACTGCAGTCACATTTTCAGGTGTTTCCTCACTCCCGGGAGGGTTACAAACATTTCAAAAGGAAGAGCAAAATGGCTGCTTTCCCAGGATAATGGGTACTGTGGTCAGTCACATTAGTTTAGTCAACCTAGCCATGCCTAAGGGTGTATATCAGCTCCCCTGAAAGAAAGCCAAGCCTGAAGGAGTCCTGCTCAGTGAAAGTGCTCTTATTCTGCAAAGCCACATGGCCTGTGGGGAATTGTGGTTATTTTGACATCTCAAGTTAGCTTGGCTTGCGGGCAGAGTGTGGACATGTACCACCTCTTTCGTCCCATAGTCTGACTCCTGGCAAGGGCCAATCTGAAATTATAAAATCAAGCATGTGGCTAACCAGACACTTCCTGCGCATAGGAGGTGCTAAATAGATCTTCCCTACCTGTAACTGCAATCGGGCTCGCACACAGGACTGGAAGGCACGTGACCGAGTCAAACCTGGCCACTCCTCAGGGACACACTTGGCACTGTGGTAAGAGCCTGCACAGAGGCTTTCATTTCACACTGCGCTCAAGTCTAAAGGAGCAGCTCTGAACAGACAAAAAAAAGGACAGTCACTTCAAAGTGAACTCATGGTTTTTTGTCATATCCTCTTCCCTTGCTCCACCTTTGGGACCTCTGAATTCGAGAGCTGCCAGCCAACCAGCTCTGTTTTAAAAGAAAACCCCTAAAGAATTCCCCTGATTCATACTGGCTTGGGCTGGGGAAAATGGTGCAGCATTTTATTATTTGAAAAATAGCTGGGTTTTCTGATTTGACACCACCCGCTAAGGAACAGCATTAAGGTTGCACGCTCTTTTGAATGCTTGTGCTCACTGGTCCTTTTGACAAACTGTACAGAGAGTTTGTCCCAAACCGAAGGGAATGCAGCGAAGATTGGAGAGAGACAAAAGTCTTTTGTAATGTAAAGTGTTCAACCTCCTGGGTACAATTCATTTGATGAAGGATCCTTTAGAGCAGGCAGCATAGAAGACTTGTTTGTTTCTTGGGTGCTATTAATAATATCTTGTACCGCGGACTCTGATTCTGATAAAAGGCTTCCTCTGGTTGAGCTCAGTGTGGAGGAGGGGGAGACACTACTCTCGTATCCCTTGCCGTTTCATGGTTCTGGGATGAATAAGCCTCAACCTGACACTCTACTAGAAATCTCTTGCACCTCACAACTATTTGATGGTCTTTCTAAACTGTATGGATGACTTTGGGTTTCCAGTTCTTGTACACGCCTAGTCTTTTGCTACTTCAGTGTTACTGTGACAAGACCCTGGGGTGTCCCGGTGCTCCCAGAGTTACCCCTGGGGTTCATGTAAGCCAACTGGTCCCCCGCTGTGCTGAATGTGCATGCCCAGGTTATTCATTTGCCCAGGTTATTCATTACCACAAGAATGTTGATGAAGTAATGGAAAAACAAAATGCTTTTTTTTACAAAGAAGAACAAAAGAGAAAAAAGGTATAAAAAAGAAGAGTGATCCAATGCTTTGACAACAGAATACGGTAAACCAAAACTGACAAAATCCATGGCCTATTGCCAGCCCTCATAACAATTCCTGTGAAAATTTCCCGGGGCCAACCTCCCCCAGCTATAGCCAGCATCCTCAACCGGGGACCTCCATTCCCCCTTTCCTCCCAGGAAGCCCCCTCGACAGCCACCCCTAATGGTCACTGCCTCCCCCCCCGCCCCCCCACCTTTGGGGAAGCCAGAAAATCCCCCCGAGTATTTCTGCCTGCGGACCTACGACAGTTACCATCGTCTAGAAGAGCGGGTCTCAACCTTTTTGGACTCAAGACAGCCCTCGATGGACGAGGCACCCCTCCGTAACTTTTGTGACTTGACTGGCACCCATTTCAAAAACTAGTGTATATGTTACTGTACTTACCTCCTTGCAGAGGGGCCTGGCAGTGGGGATGGGGGCTCTTTCAGGCGGGGACAAGGCTGAGCCTGTGCCTATCTGCTAACACTTCACTTATTTCCACACAGCTGGTAGCACCCTGCAAAACATCTGGTGGCACCTTAGAGTGCCCCGGCACCCGGGCTGGGAATCACTGATCTAGGATCTGGAATTGTGGCAAATGTATTTTATTCAGTAGTCGGTACCTCATGCGCTGAACAAGTATACTCACTGGACTATTGAGATTGACAGACAGTAAGCAGGGAATGGAAAGTACAGAGATTACGTATTTCCCAGCTGTGAAAGCTCATTTTAGAGAAACTATGGAGAGACAAAATGAAGAATATTCAAGCTTTGCTACATAAATAGCTTCTCATTAAAGTGACTCTGTAGATTAGTGTTTTCGCCACAGATCAGTAGTTGTGAATGCATGTAATGTCTGGTCTTGGATCAAGCCGTTCTCTTCTGCGGCCAACAGCTTGTCATTAGACAAGTGCAGATTGCCTCTACGGGGAACTGAAGGATACAACCTTGGAAGAGTTTCTAGAAGCTGCGTGTTATCAGCCACACCACTCACCTGGGAGGTAGGTCCAAATATGCAGATGAATATATGAACTTCTATTTACAGATTTCCCTCGCTTTATGCTGTGCATGCATTCCTGGAAAACAGCAAGTCACTCCAATTAGCATAAAGGGAACCCACTTTACAATGTAATGAATAGGGATACTTTACAAGACTTCGACTGTACTGACCCCCAGACCCATTTCTCCCACTTTTACAAGACAATTTTGGTATTTGCCAACAGCAGACAGTTCATACAAGCACAGGGCGCTATCATACTGGGGATGGCAACTACAGAAACGCGTGTCACAGACAACAAGTGAGGAGCACAGATCCACACAGGAGACTATGTCTTGGTGTGCATCACTCCCGCAATGCACCGCACAAAGCAGCTGACCGCGGGCTTCCACCACACCGATCACTAAGGGTGAATTACACATATAACACATTTTTGGTATAAAAGGGTCATTGCATAAGAGCGAATTCGCACATACAGAACCCGCATAAAGCGAAGGAAGCCTCTACTGGGTCAGACCATAAGTCGATGTTGCCCAGGATCCTGTGTCACACAGCGGCAGAGAGGATGCTGAAAGGGAGGGAACTGAGTATGGCCAGGGTTTTTTCCCCTGGTCCTCTCCCACTTGCAGCCTCCAGCATTCAAGATCAAGGAAGTTTTGATTTGGAGGCTGTACCCCTAACTCCCATGCTCAATAGCTACCGATGCCCTTTTCCTCCAAGTTGTCGTCCAATCCCTCTTTTTGAAGACCCTGGTTAACCTCTCAGCGTCCACAACACGCGGTGGCAACGAGTTCCACATGGCGTGAAAAAAGTTCTTGCTGCAAGTTTTAAACTTACTACCCGGTAATTTCATTTTATGACCCCTAATTCTTGTATTGGGAGAGATAATAAATAATAAACCCCTACGGACTCTCT